CGTGGTAGTTCGGGGTACCTTTTCGGGGGTCCCCATATTTAGGGAAACTACGACTGGATAGAGCCTGTTGTATTCAAGGAGGGTTAGGCTCCCCACACATGGCTAAACTACAAGACATGGTCGGACTTTACAACAACTTGGACACCGTGACAGTGTTGGAGTTCCTGCGTCTTTCATATGAGAGAAGCCTAAAGTCAAAATTGTTAGTGGATTAAAGAGCGACCAGAATGTTGGTCATTCTTGTGATGATGTCCTACAACTACATGGGCTGAAGGGGGTGCCTATACATCAAAAGCTTCTGGCATTGGTACACAGCCAGTCTAAGGTAGTCAGAGACTTCCCCGCCAGGTGCCACCCAACGAGAAGAAGAGCGTCCAACTGCTGCAATCACTTCCAAGTTCCTCACAAAGATTTGAGCTTAATCCCCTCCCCCTAGATAAAGCCTTTACCGCCCTGCTGTCAAATGAGCCATAGTCTAAACTCTTTATAGGGGGATATATATATATATATATCAGTTGGTACTTGTAGCAGGGACTAGAGTATGTTTTGGGTCCATATTGGGGCCCAGAAGCCCCAAATAAGTCAGAGTTCTTGGGCGCCGCTGTGCTCTTTGCAGCTTTTGCAGAACCAGAGAACTTTGGCTGTATGTATTTGTCATCCCCTCATGCAATGATGAACCTCCCCTTGATAACAGGGGGACAAGACAATTTTGGCAGGCTTCTAGCAGCCCAAGACATATATTCACCCCAGCTTTGGAAATCCTAAACCTCTACTGTTCCCCCGATTCCCTGGTAGGCTTTGGCGCTTGAATTGTCTGGTGAGGGTCCTCTGGGAGTTTCTGGAAGCTTGCCCCGAAACAGCCTAGAAGACTCAGATCCATGGTAGCGCGACGCGAAAAATTGGGCACCCAGAGCGAATTTCCAAAATTAGGAATACCATAAAAGGTTCCTGAGACTGAGGCTCGTAGCATATTTGATTCTACATTGGGTTTAGGGTTCTAAGCCCAAGATACCTGAGGCTCTCCACCGCTGCAGGGCATGCGCCTGACCATGCCACGCACAGTGAAGCCTCTTGGGTCATGACATTTTCACTTTGCCTTCTGCCATGAAGGGCCCCCCTCCCCCAAGATGAGATAATTCCCTGAGATATATTGGTACTACAATGGGTATTCGTCATTTAGGGGTTGCATCGGGGGCTCGTTGGGGGTGATTAGCTGTGGTAAGGGCAGAAGTAGAAGCGGCAGCAGCATGTGTTGCAAGAGTCATTGCCCTTGCTGTTTTTTCATACACAAGCCGCTGCTAGCAGGCTTCCCCTAACACCATCATGTTGAGGCAGCAGCAGCATGCAACCGAGATGAGACCACTGACGACGAAGGAGCAGGCACCGGCTTGTTAACCCGGATGCTCTATCTCCTGGTGATAAGTTTTGCGCTCCCGGGTCATTTCCGGACTCCGGTTTCTGGTGTACAGGGTGCTCCCCAGCGTTGAAATTGGACAGTCTTTTTCGGAGACTGTCTAAGAGTCTCAGATTTACTGGACACATCCAAATGCCCGCTGGAAGAAAATTCCAAGAATCCCATCATAATCCCTAAGTGTAAGGTACAGATATATATTTGTATATGTACACAAAAGAGTGTGTGTGTGTGTGTATATATATATATAAGTGTATATTTTTTTGGTGGTCTTCGTGGCCCCAGTGTTTCATACTATGCATACCCAGGTCAGGTTAAAATGGTCGAGAGCTCCTGGTCCCAGTTTCCTGTTTGTGTGACCTAACACCTTCTCTGCGCGCAAATAAGCTAATCCTTATTCTAGATAGAACCCCTAAAAACTGGACCCAACTCATATACTATACCAAGTCAACACTGGATGTACTTAGCTTTGGTATTCTAAGTGGAGCGGTAAGTACTTACTTCACCGTCGCAACATGAATCCCCTAACATCCCTAAAGTCAAAAACGCTTTTAGGGTTTAGGGTTACTGCTGCTCAGAAAGTCTCCAGAGAGGTGTAAACCATATTCTTTGGCAGGTCCATTGGGCGCTTCGCGATTCAGCATCCAAGGTGCTTTTTTGGGGGGCGGAGGGGGGACTGTGTGCTAAACCCTAGACCCTAAACCCTAAACAGAATTGAGGGCACAGGAACGAGGTTTAGGATGGCAAGGGGGTTTCTCATCATTGTCCCTATAAAAACCTATAGAAACCTTCCTTCTAACCCTTCAGCTCTAGCCCTTTGTATGAGTTGTAGTCTCAACTGCTTAAAGGGGGTCATGTAGGGAGTCCAGAGGGGAGTACTATAGGTAGGGGATACTAAGGGGAATACTAGCAGTTTAGACCATAGCCTTTATATAAACCCAGTACATACATTGGGTACTTTGCTACCCCCCCCCTCTTTTCAGTGAAATTCCCCAAAGAGTTGCCGCTTTGCGGTTTCAGCTTTGAGCCGGGCTGGGTTCTGCTGAGATATGCTTCTGAAACTTCTGGGCTGTCAAGAACTTACATTAAGTTACCATAATATGGGTATATAGGGTTAATTAAGGGCTTAAGTTATCATAGTTTGGCATATAGTACCATAAGTATATGGGGATTAGGGTTTAAGTTATCATATTTGAGCATATAGTACATAATAGGTTTTCCCTGTTCATAGTAACTGAACTTAAGTTCTTTAATAGCAACCCAGATTTTTCAGCTCACGGAACGACATTGTTGCGCGCTTTCTACGGCGAATGTTTTTGGGGGTCTTTGCTCTGCTTCGTCGAAGGAGCGAAATGGGAACCTTAAACCGGGAACGCCTAGAATATGCTAGGAACATAATAGGAACTACAGACCCTGATAGGTTCTGCGTTTATTTCTCTTCTTTTCTTGGGTGAGGTTCCCATTACAGTCCCTTCATTGGTTGCTGCTTGGGACCGTTTTGACGTTTAACGCTGCTGATACAAGACTCCTTTGTCGCAACCAAAGTTTTATGTAGCCATTGTGCATGGGCAGCATAGTCTCCAGAACCAGAACGTGCCAAGTAGCAACCTAGCGTAACAGCCCCCCTCCCCCAAATTAAGATGGAACCTGAACAAGGACCTTATAAAGGCTGCTGTCCTGAAGGTCTACTTGGGGTTTCATGCTAGTTGGGCTGAGGATAAGGGTGTCTTGGCATGAGTGATGAAATGCATGACTGGCGAAACCTATTCCAGGTGGTTCCCATTGTACTGCAAAGAGGTTGCGCAAAAAAAACAGCAAGTACTCTGGACTAATGTAGACCCTTTATCAGTAAACCCTTCTCCCTTAATCGGGATTATAGTAGGGATCCTCATATTCAGGCCCTTAAAAGGAGGGGCTTCATTTATCATGGGTTTACCTTAGCATGTTAAAGTCTCGAAGGGCTCCTGTAGACTTTCCTTTGCTGGGCAACCTTCTAATCCCCGGATAGCCTTACTTGGAGGGTCAGGGGGACGTGTAGGTAGGATAATAATACCTATAATCCATATAGTAACCCTAATTAGACTAATTATTAACCTACTTACAAAGTCCCCACAACCCTCCAAGTAGTCATTAGGACACCCTACCACAAGAAATCCCCTGCCCTTCTCAATTCCATGCTGGTGGTCATCGGTACAAAGAAAGCTGTATAGTTGGTCACCTGCTGTACGAACATCTCTCGCTGCGGCCTTTAATTTTCAACCCCAAACCCTGGGCTTGAAAAGACCCATGATGCCAGGAAATCATACTAAAAGGCTTAACACATAGCGTGTACTTTCGTTTAGCAGGAGGTTTCTGGAAGTTCTGTGAACCTTGAAGGTTCAGAACGGCGGCAACCTGAATGAGCGCCAGACAACCGCTCTTCAGTGCCTGGGCGCAAAGAAAGTTGTCCAACCATGTCTTGAAAAGCCGGTTCCCTCACTGCACCCCACATTATGGAGAGAAGACAGATTCGGACCCATAAATTTGCTATGTGTCCGCTAACCTCTCCCACTATACAACCCTCTCTTCGGTTCGCCCTGACTTAAGCTTACTCAGGGCGGCTTCCTGGGATGTGAGCTGGAATTACTACAAGTCAATAGGTGATCAGCACCTCGGACCTTGAATCCCAGCTCCAAAAAATGAAACTCCAATCGCATCTTGTACGTATATTGCCATCTTGATCGAAATGCGTATCCATCGCTCCCATCAATCTCTTACCATTTATGGAAGGGAAAACCCAAGCTTCAAACATGCGATATCCTATAGTCTCATATAAGGATTATTATTTTATACCACAGTCATGTTTCGAAGTGTACCTACATCACGCATCCGCTTGGCACTGCCGCCCTCCAGAAGCCCTGAACAGAATCAAAGTTAGGAAATAACATCGGTAACCAAATGTTGATCCTGTTTTTGGTTCCCCTGAATATTAGGGGCTGCAAGATACAGTGGACTCGAAAAGGAACCATAAGTTTGACTCTCAATTATGAAGCCGCTACTTGGAAAATGCCTTTGGTTGTAAAAATGGAGGCTATAGGTACGCAACTTAGCTATGGATAACCTCATTTGAGGCACTTCCCACCCTATTTAAGCTACAGTCTAGACCCCATAGAGATCATATAGGCAAGTATTAAAGGGGCTATCAAGAGGGATACTAGGAGAGCAGCTTATGGCTCACTTGAGTCGAATAATCATGCAAATTGTATAGAAGCGTTTTGGGTGTAGGGACCTGATTTGAGCTAAACTTCTTTACCTTGGTAGTGCTCCCACTCTGCGACAGTTGGGGAACATTGAAGAGATGATTACATATAGCCCTTGGTATGACCCCCGATATAGACTGTTACAGGGCGGGGGGCAATAACCAATTATTAGCTGTACATAACTGCGCCTTGAACCTTCTCAGGTCCTGCAAACAATATGCAGATCCTTCTCACATGAGTGTCATACAGGTCTGTATATAAGGAGTCCCAGTATAGTACCAGTCCTTATACACAATTAGACAAACTGTCCACATAAAAATACAAACCCTCTGCCCTGAACGCTTTCTAAGGCGCGGGTTGCAGCGTCCCTTCTCCATGGTTCAAGGCCCTCCTGGCACCGGGAAGACGTCTTTCCTCGTGCCACTGGGTGGACATGTGAAGTTTGGAAGCTTTTCCATACACATATGTACCTATGTACACACGTAGGCTCAGACGTCAAGACATACGTATAGGGCCTGAGATTTAAGACGCAGCTTCTCACCTGTGCGAAGCCAGAAGCCCTCCCGTAGCATCTTCGAAGCAATCAGAACTTGGGAATCCACCGGTAGCGTAATAGAATATTCCACGCACGTCAACTCAGGCAGTTCATAGTGGCGGCGCTTTCCGTACGAGATCGCAGAGCGAAACCTGACTATGGCCGGATCCTGGCGCGGATTGCTAAAAACCATGGCAGGGTGGCATTCTGGGATAATACTTGAATTCCCGTTTTGGCTTGCGGGAACTTATTCGCAAATGGTTTTTGGTGGCCTTCAAAGCACCACCCAGATGAAGATTCTGCGTTTTTGCCTTCTTTCGGCAGCTAAAATGTGGGTGAATGTGGGAAACTGATGTGAGCGTCCTGCAGGCTATCTATCATGTAGGACGCTCCCACAATCATAACGGACTGCATGCACTATACACCGCATCTCTTAGAACTAAGTACGGAAGGATTATGAGTCAACATTCCGGCTCAAGCAAGAACACCTCAAAAACCCAAGTCAATCATTCCTGTACTTTCCACTTTATTGTCCAGCATCTATATATAATTCAATATACTATAGTAGTCTCCATTTTCTCCTTTCCATTATCCCTAAACCCTAAACTACTATGTTTATTCTCCATTACCCCTGTATAACCTCAATCACGTGTCGGAAAGATTCCAAACGGAATGGCCACCAGCTATCTCGTCCAATACAAGGGGCAGGGCCTCATAGGAGTAACATAGGGGTAATATGGCAATATAGGTGGAATATGGCAACATAGGGGTAATGTAGTAAAAATATATTTAGAATATGGTAATATAGGGGTAATATGGGTATTATCTAGGGATAGTGGGAAAGAAAATGGAAACTAGGGGTCTTCGGCAGCTTGGACCTAGAAGGGCTCCCGACCAAAACTGCTGAAGAGTTCCTGAACATGGCCCCACTATCACTAAACCCTAAACCCTTAGACAAGTTCCACAAAATGAGTGGAATCCATATTTTAGTCATGAAGCTACTGTCGAACTCACTATATCTAGGTTGATTTCAGATAGATGCATGCTAAATCGAGAGAACAGCATCCTTGGTGTTTGAAAGGCCCCCTATGGACAATTGTATATTTTTTGGACAGGTTTGTGCGCCGTCCAACCACGCTGCAGATCACATATTGGATCGTCTCATCAGTGACCCTGGGTCGATCTGGAAAGATGCTTCAGAACACGTGCGACTCTACACTAAAAAAATTGGAAAAGCTGCCTGAGAGCCAAGGACACGGATGTCCCGCCTCACTTGATCACGCGAGTCTACTCCAGAACCATTGAGCGCTCATACGGAAGCTTGCACAAAGGCATCTCCTTGAAACTCTTCAAAACCCCACAATGTAGCAGTGCAACACACCGAACTTTTGAAGATGCAAGCTGAGGCCAGCCCGAAGAATCCAAATTTTCCCCCATGGAGGGGGGGCTAAGCACCAAATTTGACAGCCTGACTGGTTGGTATCTACAACCTTCGCATTGTGAGATTTTTGAACCATAAGGAAAGGCACGTTTTTTTTGGTGAAGGTACCCCACAAGCATTCTTGCTAAGAGCCGGCCTCTCATACGATTATGTAGATATTTTCCCCTTAATTCGTCTCCTACCATACACGTGTATTTGCGGGAATATTCAATATTGGGTGGTAGGGCGTGGTCTGTCTCTTACAGGAAAGGCCGCGACTGCCGAAACCCTAAAGTTGCTATTTGGAGGTTCATGGGACTTAGTAGCTACCTAAGAATGTCCCAACAGATTTGTGCGGACCCATTTTGGGGAAGGTCTCCTAAGCATGATAGATTAGGAACACCTCCTCGTAGCTGCAGTACAAGCATCTCTACGAGTAGTAGAAGTAGGTGGTGGTGGTACTAGTAGAAATAACAGTGGTAGTGGTAGTGGTAGTGGTAGTGGTAGTGGTGAAGCCCCGGAGGCTATTATGCGAGGACCGAGTATGCCTTCGAGATTCAGCCTCATCTGGAGGAGCATGCGCTGCACTGGAAGGTGCATGGCACAAGCCAATTGAGAATGGCACCGCCAGCAAGAAACCAACAGAAAGACTACGACAAGGCGTATGAGGATGCGGAGGTTTGGGTGTTGCAGAAGAGTCGGATTGTCATCACCACCTGCGCCAATGCCTATCTCCATTCAGCCCTGATGAAGGGGGACCCTCCGAAAATCATCCGCCCTGTCAAGTTCGACACTATCGTTGTGGACGAGGCCACCCGAGCCACGAAAGAAAGCATATACCACACTCCGATCATGAGCAACCGCAAATGAGGTGTAGGATGCTGCATGAGATTAGATTTAGAAGCAGCACCGTAATCAGAACAGCGGCTGTAGTGGCACCTAAAGCCTATGCCCTAAAACCTGAACGCTGATTTGACCCTGACTTACTAAACTTTAAACAAAAACAAGAAGCTCGTGAAGCCGAGACCTTAACACTTGAGCCCCTACCTGAAGACTAAACCTGTATCAAATACATGGGCGGTTGTCAAAGTTCTGGTCCTTTTTTGGGTACCCTAAATATTAGGTGCCGTATTATAATAGGGACCCTAAAAAGGACCATAATTTTGACAACCACCCACATCCGTAGTGAGGCTGCCCAAGCTCCGGAGCCTGACGTGGTACTGCCGTCTACATGTGCCCAAACTCGCGTTGTGGTCGTAGGTGGGGGTATCGGGGATTAGGATTCAGGACAAGTCGGGCTTATCCACTAGTGTTTAAGGGAGAGTAGGAAAAGTAAATCTCTGTAACAACCCTGTGTAAGCCTCTACACTATCACCTACATTTCCATCCCGTAGGCACTTGATTCTACCTTCATTGCGGTACAGTAACTAGAACACTTATTCCAAATTGTTAATATTTGGCCCCTCATACCACCATGTCATTGAGGAAGGAATGAAGCACTCCGGCATGTTTTGATGTTCTTGGGCTGGGGATGATGCCACTTCGGCCGGTAAATGAAGGGGAGGGTAGAGTCTAGGGTTTAAAGAGTCTCTTGCAATTTGAAACAATCCTACGCTTTCACAACCTTACCTTTGTAACGCCCAAGGGCCTGACCTAGCCCTGAAATCTAAAGGCTGGAACCCCTGGCAGGTGACCATAAGCAGCTGGGTCCTGTGGTACCAGAGCGGAACCTGCGTCTAGGTTGTCCTTGGAAAGCTTTCTGAAAATGATGGTGGCATTGAAAACCCTGCATTATTTTGGTATACTACGGCATCATAATTCGGTATTTAGGGTCATGCCAGATTTTAGTTTTAGCCGTAGTGGTCACCTTTAATTAGCTGCAGCAGTTTGATAAAGACTTACAAGTTAGGTTTACAAGTTATAAGGGGGGTTTACGGCAGTTCTCTCAAGATGATTGGTCCATTTCATGAGCTATAGCATTTCTTCGCGGCTTACGAGGAAATGGGCTAGGGGTTGACGGTGAGCTCCCAAACTCTGAGTCCCACTTTGGGCCCCCATTTCTCAGGATTGCAGCAGATATTGAGAGTCCTTTATACTATTACTAATACTGTCCAACTGTTATTGCGTGGGGAGAACCTCATTCTGTGATATACATGCTTTTCTTCATGAACCAGCTTTTGCCAGAAGGCTTCGTAGCTCCCCTTTTGGAAACAGACCAAAGGATCCATTCTCCTTGGGGCCTCGGGTGCCTGCATGTGAGCTATAGTCTAGACTCCTTAAAGGGGGGTTATATAGGGGATTATATAGGGGACTACTATAATGGTGATTAAGGGGGATACTAGGACTTTAGACTATAGCTCATGTAGTTTCTTCCTCTGGTACTGAAGTCTCTTTAGGGGAAACATCATTCTGCCACGATCTCCAAACTGTAAACTGTGAAAGACTTTTCATGCAGCAGCTGTAGGCTTGTTTTGTGGGATAGTGTCCATGAGAAGAAACATAAGGATCCACCAAGTGTCCACACAGTTCCTGTTCCCAGTACTTTTCACCCTACCTAGTGCTTGCAGGGGACATTCTCTTCGACCCTGAACCCGAATCCGCGTGTGTGTTGTACAGCAAGGGGTGCACCGCTCACATGAGCTATTGTCTAAACTCCTAGTATCCCCCTCCCATAGCCCCTGCAATACTCCCCTATACAATCAATATACACCCCAAACCCTAAACCCTAAGTAAGGGAGGCTATACAATCCCCTATATACCCCCGTTAAGGAGTTTAGACTATAGCTCCTATTGTAATTCCCAAACCAGTCTCCATACTCCCAGAAGAGTCCCCGTAACTTCAGGGTCTAGAGGTTCAGGGTTTAGGGCTCAAGCATTTTCCTGGAGTTTCGATAGAGCGTGCTTCTAGAGGAATCCATTCCTCCACGCCCTAAACACCACAAGCAAGTTTACATCATCTGTTCATGGGACCTTGCTGCAACTTTGCCGCTTCAACGCTTTGCGGGTTCCGCTTTTTCATAGCCAGGGAGCCACCAGACAAACCTTGAGTGGAGGCTTAAGGAGCAACTAAGAGAAGGTGTGCGCCTTACGTCAGCATCCTGAAGATGCCCTTCTTGGAGCGCATGCTGAAGAACCCGCGTCGTTGGGAGGCCACCGTGCTGTTTGGTCTTGAAGCTTGGCGCCCTGGAGGGTTTAGGGTGTAGAGCTTAGGGCGCAGCATATGGGGATTGTCCTAAATACGGGGTCCTACATTTGGGTTCCTATAATAATACGGGTCTCTATATAAATTTCCCCCATTTTGGGAACAGTAATTTAGGGAATCCTCTATATACAACCTAAAAGGTCATCTGTATGCACCACGAAGTAGTTGGCTCCTTAGAAGAGGAAAGTTTAGAACCTCATAGTCTTGGGAAACCTTCCAGCGACCGGAACTAAATACATGGTAGTTTCCACAAATAGGGTGGAACTCAATATAGACCCCAAACACAACGATCCTTATTATGGGACTCCTAGAATGGCTTGGGAAACCCTATTCATCCCCATAGCACCCTATATAGCTCCTATAAACCCTTTGAAAGGTACCCCTGATTTTGGGAGACCCCTACATGGTCTCTCTCCCTCTGATGGCTTCAGGGTGTGAAGCTTTATCATCCCCAAGATAAAGGCGTAAAGGCCAGGGACAGACAAGGACAAAGCAGGGAGAGAAAAAGGAAATATGGGAGGGAATCCCAAAATTAGGGATACCTTTTTGGGGGTCCCCATCAAAGAGGTTATGGCACCCTTAATTCAGGGAAACCGTAATATCTTTTGCGCGATAATAGGCATCGCCTTGCAGGAATGGAGTTGTAGTTGTCACGTAGCAGCAATGGCAACTGCGCAGCAGTACAGGGAAAGCCGCTGCGGAAAACACAAACTCCTTGGGCATTTCTTAGAGCCGTTCCAAGAGAACATGTTTTGCTGTAAGGCTCCGAGCAGCTACACAATCTTACTTGATCCTGCGAATGATATGAGCTAAAGTCTAAACTCCTCAGGGTGTTATAAAAGGATTATATAGGGGACTACTCCCACTTTGCTAATGGGTTGCTGCCACGTTCGGAGGCTAGCACGATGCTGAACATGCAGTACCGCATGCATCCGTCCATCAGAAGCTTCCCGTCCTCGCAATTCTACGATTCCAAGCTGGAGGACAGAGTCGTCATCCCGCATCGACCGCAGCTGCCACGGGGCTGGCATGCGCGGTTTTTCTTAGATTTGCTATAATTCGGGTACCTGTAGTGGTGTTCCAAGTATCATTCGGGTCATTATATGGATTTCCTGCATTTGGGGAACAGTAATGTAGGCCAAGTCCTATGTGAACATCATGTTGAGATGATAGTACCGCATGTAGGGACAGAGTGCTTCGTTTGGGTGGAAGTCCTGCATAATAAGAGTAAGATGATCTTTTGCTTATAAGTGTAGTCTAAAAACTTTCATTCCTAGGGTCAGCCATCGAAATGGCACGCGAAATCCCTGACACAGATGGCTTTGTGGGTAAAAGCTCAGGGCTTGAGAGCTGCGGATTGGCATTACCGGGTTGCTGTTAAGGAAATTGGTTTAAGTTACTATATTGGGGAAACCATATTAATTCCTATACATATATACCCATTATGGTAAGTTAGTTTAAGTTCCTTAACAGACACCCAGATCAGGACTTTGGGGTTCATAGTTGAGTTTTAGAGTTTAGGGCTCCAGAGAATTGATACCCGCGCCGATGACCGACCATGGGAAGCATGTGATAATGTTCCTGCAAAGGGGTGTTTTGCATCAAATTGAAAAATCTGGAAGATGTTCCAACCCGTGCCGAACGATTAACTGCTAAGCTTCGTGAGTATGGTGCTGAGAGACTGCCCTGGCCAAGCCCGCTGGCGGTCAAATTGTAGTAAGGGTGCCCGTCGAATGGTGCCCTGCACACATCCCCAGCGAGAGAAAGAGAGAGCGATAGAGAGAGAGAGAGAGAGTGGTAGAGAGAGAGAGAGAGACGGTGGATGGAGGACATTTTGCAACTAGGACCCCCAGACTACTGCAATTCGCCAAGCTGAGGAATCGTATCTGGCCAGAGGCCAGGGAGCATCGTCGGTTCATCGATTGCCAAACGCCTCAGTCGATGGGCCTTTCCCCTGAGCTGACGAGGCTACGAGTGCAGGGCTCCAAGTGGGTTTACAGGTCCTCATTCATAGGGCTCATGGTTTAGTGATGATAAGCAAGCAGGACGTGCGATGCGGCACTAACGGAGAACAAGACTTCGCTCAAGAACGTCGGTGAAGCCAAAGTGGCTGTGGCTCTTTGTTCCTTGCTGCTGGGGCAAGGTGGCTGCTCAGCAAAAGACATCGCCATCATCACGCCGTACCGAGCGCAGCAGCATGAGATTCGTGGCAGATTGCAGAGAGACATCGGCGCAGGCTCGGCATGCAAATAGTTGACTTAAAAGGACTTCACAGGCGTAGTTTTTGGGCTGTGCTGTCCAGATGTCCTAGACTGAAGAACACTGCCTGCTGCTTTGCTCCTGTCGTTGTTTTGATCGGTAACAAAGGCTCCATTTATCCCCACTATCCATTTTTACGTGTGTGTTTCCCATACCTCCTCCGCACAAAGTTCCACTACAGACAGCACTGCCCTTCCCCCCGCTGCCAGAACACTCTGTTCACCTACGACTGTCCATGTCATTGCTTGCTGTTTTGTTCCATTTGTTTCATGAACCGTGTCTGAAATCTCATCTGTATAGTCATCCTAGAAGCCAGCAAAAAAGGCGAATTCCATGGTATTAAGCCTTCAAAGCCGTTCCAGGTATTCATTCATACTGTCCATAGTATTCCGCAAAACAGATCTGAGGTAAGCATGTACTTTAATGTTCCCTGTTTCCTCATTCAACAGCTATCTCCTCTTCTCAACGATGTAATGACCTCCTCATGTAACACGGTAAAGAGGTGTGAAGATCGATTACTACCGCAGGTTGAATCTGGCAGGGCTTTAGTCACCTCCCTCGAGTCATTAGACCCCCGCCACCTGCCGTATTTTCCCAATATGGTATAGTTATAGTTCACTGGCGCCGCCCACCAAGGGGGTCGGCGGATAGAACAGAAATATTCATTCTGTCGGGGGTGCATTTTTTATTAGACAGGGGGAGGGGAGAATTGAAGAAGCCTCAATACTTAGCAGTCCTTAGTAGTATCTTCTTAAAGTCCTCATGTAACTAATAAAATCGTACCCCAGACCCCTACTCTTTCTGCAGCCGCAGCCCTCGAACGCTCAACCCTAAACCACTAAAAACCCTAAACCCAAAAACCATAAACCCTTAAAACGCTAAAATCCTACACCCGAAAACCCTGATACCTTACAACCCTCAACCCTAAACCCTTGCAGGCTCTAAGGGCATCCTGGTGGGCACAGTTCATTCCCTTCAGGGCTCTGAGCGAGAGCTCCTGGGCTTACCTGAGCCATAATACAAACTCCTTAAAGGGGGGTATATAGGGGACTATTATAGGAGTTACTAAGGGGGATACCAGGAGTTTAGATTATGGCCTACCTGAGCAGAGGGTCTGAGGTTTAGGGTTTAGAGTTTACAGGTGAATACGGTTATGATTTTTAGGGTTGAGTGTGCTTATGATTTTGGGTGCATGGGGTTTAGGGTGTCCGGGGTTACGCTGTTTAGAGTTTAGGGTGTTCAGTGTCTAGCGTTTAAGGTTTGTATTGTTTAGGGTATTTAGGAGGGTACAAAGGGTTCAGGCCCAGTTATGAAAAAAGACTTTGCGTCGCAGCCTCATATGGTGGATCTTATACCTTGGAAATTATAGGGGTCATAGTATAGTAAGGTCATGCAGGATTTTTCATATCCAAGGTAGCACTGCATAAACGCTTCCTTCCCTGAGCTCCTTGGTAAACCTCAAGCTTCTCAAAGTAGACCCAAACCCTTAACCCTTCCAGAATTCCCATAGCTCCTGCACATGCCTTTCATATTAGGCACAGTGGATACCAAATCCTGCATAACACTAAGTAGCCTATACCTTGGGACTAGAGGTACTACAGCATACCATTCGATGCAGGATTAAACCCGAACCCCTAAGAACCCTTTCTAAACCCTAAACCCAGCAGCTCAAGGGTCTATCAGAGCAAAGGTTCATCATTATCAGCTTCGTGCGCAGCCTCTCAGATGACGTGCAGGACATCGCGCCCTCCCAAGAGGCCCGTGATATATGGTGGTTTCCATGAACATGATGACCCCAATGTAGCCCCGCACACTACTATAATGCTTACTATTGGGACCCTCAAAAAAAGCCCCTAACTTTGGGAAACCCCATTTGGAGGTTTACAAGGCTATCTAGAGTTCAACACTTCCACGTTTACGCAGGTCCCTGTTTGAGCGATCCTTCTAGCCATCCATTCAGATTTAACCGGTGGGCCTCTTACGTAATTTCAGCATTTCAGCACTTTTGGGACCCCCGAATGCCTAAACCGAGCTATTTTTTTCACACTAGGGTTGCAGTGCAGCCACGTTTGCGGAATCAAGCTAGGGTCTACGCGCTTTAAGGAGATTAGGGTTTCGAGTTTTTAGTGGTGAAGGGTTTTGGTCCTCAGCATGAGAAGGAGGGACGCAGGATTCAAGATCAGGGGGCACTGGATTTGGACCTTGGGCTTCACGTCTCGGGTTTCTGGCATGCTGACGTAGAAGGTTCTCTGCTGCAGGGTTTTTTGCAGTCCTGTAGCCCTGACTCAAGAGGGGCCAGAAGGTGAGTTGCAGCCATACCGGTCGCAGCAGCTTGTTATCGGTTCTCCTGACCACCCCCTCCCCCCCGTGCTGCCCTCCCCTAAGATTCCACCTGAATTAGCAGTGGTTATGTTTAACCATCTCATAGAATGGGTAGTTAGCAGAACGTATAAGTTCAAGTTTTAAGTTCAGGGTGTATCACGCACCCTGGTACTCACTGCTAAGGAGAATCCAAAGCTGTTATGGAAGGAGACACGGCACTATTACATATCTTGGCCCGGATCTAAGATATGTCACGGGCTGAATTTCGTTGAGGCTCGAGGAAGGGAAAAATGCGCTGGAGCAAAAAAGATTGACAATTAGAATCCTTGGCGCCGCGTACACATTCTGCCTTTCATATTCTGAGGTACCCTAGAGCTAGTTCTGAAAGGCGGCAGCTAGGGACAAAGGGGAAGGAATGGACAGTGTAAATGAGGCCTTCTACACCTTAACTGCGGCGCTAGAACCATCTGATTTCTGCTTGGAGGGGCTTCTAGGGATTATAACTATCTAAGTCCGACTGACCCTCTTAGTAACTTCCTGCCCCGAAAGATATTCAGGTCAATGAAAATGGGATTGGTTTCCCTGACGCTACAGTGGAGCGACATCGGGAATCTTGATTGGTAGGATTGTACTACAGGGAAGGGACTAGGTGCCTATAACAAGCATTAGGAGGGCCGTGACATTACCCACAACGGAAGCACAGTAGCAGTCGCCGTGCAAGCTTTAGGTATACAAGCAGTAGCCATGCTTTTACTACATGAGCAGTAGGTCAGGACTATGGCTATACTATGCAAACTAGCTGGAGTAAAAAGACCAAAAAAGAGCAAGCGTAAGAGAAGCAGAAGTTATCAACATGAACCTCCTCCTTGCTATCTCAAGAAGCAATCTTCCTCAAAGCAACGAAGATGAAAGTCAAAGATATTAAAACAAGAGAGCAGGGTAGCACGGCTTGTTTTTGCTTAGTCTTTTAAGTTGCTGTCACTGACTTGCGCAGTTTAGTAGAGTCCCTGATGTAGTTCTTAATATGGAACCCATCAACATTGAAGCTAACTCTAAACCCTCGACCCTAAACCCTGAACCCTAACTCCTGGAACCCCTATAATAAGGACCATAGTATATCGGGGTCTATATTGGAGTCCCCTATTTGGGAAACTACCAGATGTGCATCACTGGCTGCATTATGGGTTAGCAATTCCTGGCATGATTATCCTGCAACCAGACCGAAACCTAGACGCCTGGGACAATCTAGAAAGTAGAACCCCAAATATGGTACCCTATACTTCCATTGCGTAATTTCGAGGAACCCTTAAGGGGAGCTACTTTCCAAGATCTGCCCAGAGCTCTGGGAAGAGGCTGCCAGTGTGCTGAGAAGCTTTGCCACCGTTGCTGAGCAGTGGCCATTAAACCCCAGATCTGTGTTTAGGGTTTAGGGTTTAGGGTTTAGACAACAGATCCTGAACCTAAATCTCAAGCCATCAATTGTTTTACGCCTCCACCCAGTCATGGGCATTGCAACAACTCATACAACGTGCAAATCTCTCTTCGTGACCTTATTGATGGGTGGAGGCTTGACCTAACCTGCGAACTACAAGAGCTGGGAGGGTCATAAGACGATCTGTAGGTAACCTTTAAGAAGGATCCCCCACAGTCCTAGGGGTGCCCCTCTCCCAGCTATCCCCTAAGATCCCTAGGGCGTCCCAATTTTGAGAGGTGACTTCGACTGGCGATTCGCTGGCCTTAAGAGAGATGCGAAAGACAAGACTCGGCATCCTGGAGGATAGCAACTCGGATTGCATAGTATGTGTTAGGTGCACCCCCAACCCTGTAATAGTGACTACAAAGGACAATGAGGATCATATTAAGGTCCTATTATATTCCCAGTATACCACTCTTACAGGGTGGAGGTCCTTCCAAGAGAGGTGCGTTTCCCAAAGTTAGGAATGCCTTCTTCCCAGACCCCTGGGCGCATCCAGAAAGTAGATCTCCCTTGAGGGTTCTTAGACATTACCCAAGAGTAGTATAGGGTACCTCGTTAGGGGCTCTAATTTCTAGATCCTCCCAGAAATCTGGGTTGGCGTGTTCCCATACTGAGGATTATAGCATTAGGGGGTCTACAGTGGGACCGTTCCATGCATGAGAACTACCATATAGAAGCCTGAAGAAATGACCGTATCATTCCTTATAGAAGTATAGTACACTCGACCGCCAAAGCTGGTTTTAAATATTTGGGTCCCTAGATTCGCGCTGGGGGTTGAGGGCCCAGGGCGACATAGAGTGACCAGAGAGGAGGGCCCGCTTGCTTACCAGGGCTGCTAGTGGCAACAATGCCAGTACGGGGGTTTCCCAAAATTAGGGGTACCATTTTGGGGGTTCCTATATTAAGGATTATAGTATATTGGGGTCTATGTTGGGGCCCCTTATTTAGGGAAACTGCCATACTCGGCTGCTCGAAGAATTAAGGTCATGAGTAGACCTATGGCCCTGTATAGCCCCCAAGCACTAAACCATAAACCAAACTTACTACGACAGCCAAGAACACGCTAGTGTTATGATAAAGAGGGGGTCCAAGACTACTATTTTCATGCGTCCCTCCTCACGCCACACCGTTTAATTCTTAGGTTTGGGGGTGTAGGTGTTGGGGTAAGGGTGTGGGGTTTACGGCTTGGGTATTT